GCGCAGACCTGCGCCCTCGGCCCTGCCCTGGTCAGCGCGCCGGTGTGCGAGGGGACACCGGGCCTGCAGGCCAGGCCAGCCTGCCCAGCTCCTGGTCAGCGCGGGAGCCGGGCCCGGGACGAGCGGGGAGCTGGGCCGGCAGCAGTGGCCCCTGCGCAGCCCCCTGCGACCTCCTGAGGCAGGGACAGGTTACTGGCTGGGCTGCCCACCCGGACGGTCCCTGCTGGCGGCCTGCCCTGTGGCTGGGGCAGGGCCAAGGGCACCTTGTTGTGGGCCAGAAGTCACCTGGGGATGGGGCCAGTGCTGGGCCGGGGGCCTGGCCGAGAGGGGAGGCCGCTGCCACCTCTGCCCGGCGGGAGCTGGGCAGCCCAGGCTGGGGCCCCCCGGACCTGGAGCTGTGTGCTGGCGCTGCTCTGGCCGGGGCCTCACAGGATCACAACCTTCGGCCTTCTAGCTCCCCCTCCTTAACCTTGGCCCAGTTCTGCCCCAGCCCCGGGGCCACGCACGGGCCAGCGCAGCGCTGAGGGCCTGGCTGCAGGACACTGAGTGATGCAGGGCAGCCACACCCACTCTGTGTCCCGTTGCCCCAGGGAACCAGAGGGCTCCCCTGCCCCATCAGCTGAGGAGCCTGCTGGTGGCCAAGGGCCCCTGCCCTGAGGCTGCTGGGGGCGGATTGGGCAACCTGGTGAGGCGGTTCTGTGGCGGCCCTCACCCCTGGCCACCTTACTTTGTGATGAGAAGGGAAAGCCGGTCGCAGCCGGCTGCTGTCATCAGCCAGGGAGGCCGGAGGCCTTTCGGCTGCTCTGGGGGCAGGCGGAGGGCCCAGAGAGCAGCCTTTGGCCCCCGTCCAGGTGCAGGAAGGCTGTTAGGGAGCATTAAAGATGCAGCCGTGAGCACTCACCATGCACAGAGAAGCACTTAGCAGATGACGTTCGGAGAGACCGCAGGACTCAGAAGAGCGTGTGGTGACCTAAAACGCGGGTCAGCAAGAGCCGAGGCGGCCACGGACCCCCGCGCCTCCTGTGCTGCTGCCCTGCAGGGACCGCTTCCACCTGCCCAGGGCCCCAAAGTGTGCTCTGATCCTCACTCCTCCGCGCTGTGTGGTGGAGTGGCTCATCGACCCACAGAGGCTGCCTGAGCACCCCTGGCCTCCTCGCTGGGCACCTGGGGACCCAGAGAGGGACCCAGGACACAAAGGGGGGCCTGGTGCTTACCGCGGGGTGGCTGTCACTATGGAGAGGACCTGTCCACGGGCAGCACCAGCCTCCCACTGCTGGCCTGCTTCATGGTCACCGTCCATGCCCACTGTGTCCTCCAGCCCAGCCTCTGCAGGACACGTCTGTCTCCACTGTCCACAGAGGTGGCCACACACAGTGCTCCCGCTTACTCCCCCCACCACAAGGCACAGCGGGCCGAGGCACAGGGCCCTGGGGGCCCATCCGCTCTGCCAAGCCAGCTGCACCATGCTGAGGACAGGAAAAGAAGCGGCAGGCTGTCTCCAAAAGGAGAGAAAGTGCTACTTGCATCTTTCCTGAAGCGTCCCCGAGAAAACCCTGGGCTTGGAACACACAGCAGCGCTCCCCACCCCCACCGTCTACCCAGAGCTGCCGTCAGCACTTCTCAGCTCTGCAGAACTCCTCGAAATTCTCCCTGCCGAGCTCTGCTTTCCTGCCTTCTCCAGCCAGCTCTCCCTAGGCCCCTGAAAGTGGACACTGGTCCCCGGCCCCACGCCCAGCTCACTGGTGTGGCCTGGCCTCGCCTGGAGATTTGACCAGGGTGCCCCATGCCTTTCTCTGTCTCTGCAGATCTCGCCTGTGATGCACCTGCTGCCACCATCCTGGGAGAGGACCGACGGGAGCCTCATGCCCTGACCCCAGGGCCTAGCCCCCTGGCTCTCACGTTCCTACCCAGCAAGCCAGGTGCCCGGCCTCAGCCCGAGGGAGCCAGCTGGGATGCCGGGCATGGTGGGGGCCCATCATCCTGGGCAGACCCAGCAGAGGGCGGCCCCAACCCCGTGCTCCTCCCTGAGGGCCTGCACCCCCAGGCTCTGGCCGCCACCCTGGAGCCCCGGATTGTGATGGGCGAGGAGACATGCCAGGCACCGCCATCACCCAGGGCAGCCCTGCCAGTGCTCAGGGAACAGGAGCTGTGCTCTCAGGATGATCCTCCTGTGCCTTCCTGGTCCCCAGTCCCTGAGCCCTACTTCACCCCTCCCTCCACCCCCACCGAGGCCACCTACGCCCTGCTTCTCGGCCATGGGCTGCACAGGGACGCATGGGACCCTGAGGCGGAGCTGCTGGACTCGCTGGCTTCCTCGCCCTCGGGCTCCTATGTTACAGCGGATGGGGACAGTGGGACCTTGTCACCCTCCTGTTCCCTCAGCCTGCTGGCTCCCACCGAGGGGCCGGACTTTCCCTTGGGCTGGAGCTTCTCCCCGCCAGAGTCAGCGGCTGAGGAATGGGAGCAGCACCCTGCCGAGACCCCATCCTCTGAGTCCAGCCTGTCAGGGGACAGTGGCTCTTCCTGGGGCCAGGAGGGCCACTTCTTTGACCTGGACTTCCTGGCCAATGACCCAATGATCCCTGCAGCCCTCCTGCCATTTCAGGGTAGCCTTATCTTCCAAGTGGAGTCGGTGGAGGTGACGCCACTGTCCCCTGAGGAGGAGGAGGAAGAGGAGGTGGCACCTGACAACCTGGCCCCTGACGGGGAAGCGGCCAGACAGGATGAGGAGGACAGTGCCTCGGCCTCCTTCCTGCAGTCCCTGTCCGACCTGTCCATCACTGAGGGCATGGACGAGGCCTTTGCCTTCCGAGACGACACCTCGGCGGCCTCCTCAGACTCGGACTCAGCGTCCTATGCAGGGGCTGACGACGACAGGCTGTACAGCGGGGAGCCGCACGCCCAGCCCAGCGCGCTGCTGCAGGACGCTGGCCAGAAGGCAGAGCAGGAGTGTTCGGGTAGGGCTGTGTCCTGGAGTGCAGAGCCCAGGGGGACAGCGCCCACCCCTCAGGTCCCAGAGGGAGAAACCCGTCTCAGCCAGAGCCAGGAGTCAGTCGCAGGCATCTCGGAAGAGGGCCTGGCTTCCGGCCGGGAGTCTGCAGCTGCTGTCACCCCTCACACTGGGCAGGTGACCGCCGAAGCGACCCCTCAGGTGGGCGCTGAAGTTGACTCTGTGGCCAGAGGAACACCTGCCACCCAGGCGCCAGCTCACCCCTCCCAGGACAGGAGCGCCGCCTTAGGCCGGCCACCCGGTGCTGTAGAGGCAGAGCCAGCTCTGCAGGAAGCAGCAGGCAGCAGCCCTCTTGAGCTCACAGAACCCCAAGGAGGCCCAGGCCTCCCGGAAGGCCTGGAGTTTGTGGCTGCAGCCACGCTGGGGCCCCTGCGGGCTGAAGGGGGCGTCCCGTCACCCCAGGACTCTCCTGAGTCTGCACTTCCAT